TAGAAACGATGGGATTATCAGTTTAAAGTACCATCAAACATCATCGAAGCTTGAGCTTATTTTTCAATTTCTTTTCTCTCGTTGTCAAGCATCGTTCTCATCTGCGTCGCATTTCGAAATGACAAGAACTGGAAGAGGGGGAAGTGGTACGGGCGGAAAGGTATGGGGATCACGACTCTTTGTCAGGATTTTCACCGGACTGGAGAGCACCGCGTAGAGTTTTGAGTGCGGTCGCGTATTGTCCATGCGTTTCTCCTACGGACGCCTGTCACGAGCATGCGTAACTTAATTTTCCGAGGCCAGTGTTGGCGGAACGAGAACGAAAGAGACGGAAGAGGAGGAAAGAGGACTGATGACAAAAGGACTCGACGTTCCCTTCCACGCCCTGATATCAAAAGGGTTCACAGGAATATCGTAATTGACTTTACAATTAGCATCGAGCCTATCCAGTGGAATGTCGCTGCCTCGATGCTAAGGCCCCTTCACCTAATATCAAACCGAGCCCTCCTTATTGCAATTAGAATTCTGTCGAGTGAAAATACGGCCTCGGAGACTCATCACGGATGAATCGGCCGCGAGAGAGAGTGAGAGAAAGGGGAGATGCTACCATTCTCTCCTCTTATTATCCAACTAATTAGAACGTTCGATCGATTCATTTCGCCGTAACAATCGGAGAGTCCCTTAATTAAAATTCATCGCTGCTGCGAACTTCACCGTCCTTTTTTTCGATCAAGAAACTTTGATGACTTGGCGATTTTTCTCCCTGGAACAACCGTTCGACCAAGAATTTTCGTAGAACCTCGCTCGATCGAGCGTTGTTTCGCGATTCGAGTGCTCTTCCGGCTCGAATACTCCCCCTCTCCCTTTTTTTCCGGAAAAAAAAACAGAAGAAGGGACTATGTAAAACGTGCAAAGCAAGAATAGTAGGTGAATTATGTATAGATTCCTTCGGTGACTCGAATAATTTAACGAAGTTATTATTTTCTTTCTGTTAGATTCGTTTGCAATTCCGCAGAAAAGTTAACTTTTAGTTGCTCTTTCTTCTTTTTCTTTTTTCCCTTTTTTTATCTTTCTTGCCAAGTTCCTTATACTAAATCGGTTTCACGAACGAAAGAAAAGTTTGTAACGCAGTTACTGCGAAATAAGTTCCATTTCGTGTCTCAAATAAAGGAATCGAGGAGTCGTCGCGTCTCGCAAAAAGTCTTGCGAATTACGAAAATATTTTTGAACGTAAGTCTTTACATTTTCGAAATAAACGAAATAAACGAAGTACGAGAATAAAACTGACCGTAATGCGTCATGTTTCTACGTTAATTCTCTATTTTTTTTACAAGATCATGAGATCCATTATCTTTTCACGAATCTATATAAATCTATATATTTTCCATACTTTATATTGATGAGATATATAAATGTATATCGAACTCGATTTCTCGCGCGTATCTTTCGTGTCTCCAAGGAAATCCGAGGAATCGAAAGCCGCGAATCGATCAACGAGACGGGAACTGTTTTAATAAAAATTACGATTAACAATTAATTTGGTCCCAAGATGCATCGTGCTAGCAGTAATAAAATTTCCAATCTCGCTTGCTTCGTTTACAGGGATGAGTCGAACTTGTTCGTGTCATCCCTGGAGGCGGTGAAAAATATCGAGGAGGAAACGAAGATAATGTAAATTGTCCCATTGTTTGAATTTCCACGAGTTTCACATGTTTTCCTGATCAACAGGGATATTATGCGTAGGCGCAGAAACGAGATTAATCGAAGCGTATCAAGAAACGACGAGTAGAATACTGACCTAGCTTGAAGGATAATTCTGTGAGCGTAAACCGGTGTCTCATCCCTTCCTAGCAAAAAGACAATGTCAGCTGTATCTTTGTCTTCGGAAAGTCGAGCCAAGTCCTCCAGAAGTCTAGGTACACCGGCTAAACCTGCCTCACCAGATATCCCCGCTGCTCCTGATGCCGCCCCCACAGCGACGGCTCTGGTCGCCATGATGTGTCGAATCGAAAATCAACTACTGTGAAATATAAACAGTTATTAATGAGATAGATTCTTGATGATTGCGTCGTGGTTTAGTATTTTTAGTTCTTTTTACTTCTCAATCATTTGCTATAATAATGATTAAAATTGCTATTTTTAATTTAATATTAATGTTAAAATTACGAATTTATGTGTAATAATATAAAATTATATTATTGAAAATAATTTAAAGAATCTATCATCTTCTTGTTTCATTGTATTTTCTTTTGAAGAAAGAATTTATTTTTAAGTAGATAATATAAATAAATAATATATCTAAACATAAATTTTAAATGTAATTTTCTTTCTTAGCAAAAGAGAACGAGATTTTTAAAATTATTTTTTTATAATACATATTATAACACATAATCGATATTTTATAATATTTTAATATATTTTTGTAGAGATCACCTATTTAATAATTAATATAATATCAATATCAATATCATGATGTGTTATGTTACATTTAATATTTAGTTTTGTATAGAAAATTCAATATCTTCTAATAAATAAAATAAGGTAAAAGGTTTCTTAATCCAAGTTTCCACTTTTCCAATATTTATACAAGACTTTAAGCCATTACCTATCAATTTTAAAAAATTGTCCTCAAACTTTTACGCGTAAAATATAAACTTTTCCCCTATATTTTTCTTTTTCTTTTTTTATAATTACCGCAAAATATTTCATTCACCTTACAGCTTATTAAAAAAGCCTTCGTTAGTTCGCGTTCTTTACCTCCCTTCCAAGTACCACGCAACTTTTATTCATTAACCTTTCTTCGTTGGCCCGAAACAATCAAGCTAATTAAGACATCGAACGAATCACCCACTATATTTTTTTCGTACACCTATCGTGCGAAAGTTGACGCTCTCTGGGATCCGTGCAATTTGCGGTAATCCGAAATTAATGGGGATCAGAAATAAATCTCGTTGATTGACGGCAAAAAGAGGGAAAGAGAGAGAGGTGTACGTGAATATTATAAGGCGACCGCGTGTGTCATCGTCTCAAAAACATTTTCCAGTAACATCCGCGGTAACGAGCTTCATCGCGGCTAGAGCAAAGGAAAGAGAAAGAAAAGAAAAGAAAAAAAAAATAAAACAAAACCGATTAACGTACAATCGGCGCTAATTGCGCGATTAATATTTGATTTGCACCGCGTCGCGACGCGGCGTCACCCTCGTCCCGTCTCTCTCTTTATTCCGCCCCCTCTCTTTGTCCGTGTCATTCAGCCACGGCTGGTCGATCGACACGGAGGATTTTGTGTCACGGCGGCTGGCTGATTCCCTTTTAATTAGTTCGGGTTTTGTAGTTTTCGAGCGTGTGACGCGCCTCGATCGCGCCGCGTGATTCCCCGGTCATTTGCCCTCTCCCCTGGATTTCCTCGCGTCATCCCGCATTCCGACGTCGAATCTGATTCGATTAAAATGTCATCCGACCAAGGTTTTGTTTAGAGCCCGATTGAGCAGCGTGCAAACGGTGAAAAATTGATTAACGAACGGATATCGCGATCCTCTGATTCGACGCACTCGCGATTATCGGTTGAACCGATTAATTAGTTACGATTAAGTGTCACGTTCATTGTAACGGGTACATCTTCTCGAATAATCTCGATGATGAAGAAGTTTCTATAAAGTTAACCTCTCTTCGGTATGATCTTATCTCTCTTTATCGATCTTTCGATGCCGCACTGAATATAGATGTAATTCGCGTGATCAATCGTTGATTCTATACGTTTTCGATGTATTATTGTACGTAGAAGAAGTTAAAATAATTATATAATGTTATTACATTTTTAAACAAATTTCGTGGAACGAATCGATGAACGTTCCTTTTCGAATCGCGCACAGATATCGACTGCCGCTTCGCACGGTGTTTATTTTGAATTTTGTTCGTTCGATTCTCGTCGCGTTCGATACCGTATAAATAAACACGCGTGTACGAATATAAATAGCACGGGAATTATAACGAACGCTTGTTATCGAATAATATTATCGTCGAACGTGTTTGCGTTCAAACAATTTAAACATTTGATAGAGAAGAAAAAAATTAATCGTCGTTCTTATCGAACATGCAGAAGGCTCACCTGAGGAACGTAGAATCGCGCGTTCGAGTTGCTATCACCTTTTTTTCGTCGATCGAGGCGAACGAACGTTCGAAAAGAGTCTAAGCGAACCGCGACGAGCTGAAGCGTTGTTTTCCTGCTACACGTGGACGAGTATTGTGCTCGCACGCGAAACACTGCATTTTCAACCGATCGGCATCTCACACTCCCACGGGGCGAAACATTGTTTCGTCGAAAACTTTTCCTCCGTTTGTCTTTCCACGGTTTTCCTCTTTTCTACGACGAGGTCCGTTGTTCTACAACGCGGACGCGATCCCGCGAGTATCGCGCATCGAAGAAAAAGAAGAAAAAGGAGAGTCTAGGAAAAACGTGTATGTTCCGTTTCGACCGGAAGTTTCGACGTATAACGCGAGGTATTTCTACGGAGCGAGACGAGTTTTACGAGCGCTGGACCAGGCCTGGCTCGATCCCGCCGCCTTCTTCGGCCCTTCTCCTCTCGCGCAAAGGTGAGCCTGTGCCTCTTTTCAACCAACGACGATTCACTCCTTTCTTCTCGTTCTCGTGTGGCCAATGCTCCTGCAAGATCACTCCACCTCCAGCCGTTGTTGCCAGATCCTCTTTGGAGCACTGATCGCACGATCAAAAAGGATACACGCGCTCTCTCCAGCTAGCAACGGACGTATCGTCTAACCTGACCCTAGATCGACACCGATCCCTACTTTTTCTCTCGTTCACTGACTCGATTCACATTGTTTATCCAACGTTCTCTACCCTTTGTTCCATTTTAAATCGAGGTGAAGGCAAGATTCTCTTGTCCCTTTTTGATCGAGAAACTCTATTTCATTCTCACAGTGGCGTGCCTTGTTTTTTGAGGCGGGTTTTCAAGCAATGGTTTTGCTTGGTCGCGCGATATTGCCGTAATGCGGTGCTTCCTAGTTTTCTGGACGAATTTTCTGGTCGTCCTTTTATTCGTATGAGACGCTCCTTTTCGACTGTAATTCTAACCGAGTCCATTGGATTCAGTGATTCAAACATTTTAACTTGAACTTCTGCTATAGATCGCATTTGATCTCAGTTTTTCGTCAGTTCGCCGCCCATGTTGAATTTACTTTACGACTTTAACTTAAACAATTGAAAATGGAGTACGATTTGGATAAATATAATTGTGCGATTTGAAGTTAAATTCAATCCAATTAATTTTTAGAAAAATGGAATATATTTTGATGATAATATTTGATATTTGATTTATCAAAATATGGAGTAATAAATAGCGATATAAAAGTTTAAAATATAACATTTGATAAAGACATTTCACTGTAATTGAATTATTTAATGCGTAGAATCATTTGTCATAAGTTAAAATTTGCTTAATAATAAAATTCGTTTATAGACTATACTACATAATTAAGAGAAATATCCATTTTTCAATCGAGAAATGTAATTATCTTGGAATTTGGGATAAAATAATTTGTAACGTTCGTTTCTGCTATCATTCTAACAAGATGTGCTTTATCTTCCCAAGCTTCTCATTTAACTTTCCGTTTTATCCTTTCGCGATATTACGCGATAATAAATTGCAAAATGCATATAACATCTGTTCTTTGCGAATATAGTAATCTATGATAAAATTTCTGCTCAACTTCTCTCGTATAGAATTAATCGATCGATGGTAAAACAGATTTTTCGATCATTAACAAAATGTAAAATAGATCTATTATAGATTAAATATAAAATAGATTATCCAGTTATTTTTAATGTCATTTAATTCAAAACTTACGTAATCTCTATTATAATTTTTGTATCATATGCGATATTATCGATCCAAAAAGAGATAAAAATAGTATTGAAATGAAAGGAATTGTAATTCATTTGTTTATAATTTTTATTATTATTAACATTTATTCTTCAACAAGAGATTGAAAATGTTTGAAACATTTCATTACATATTTCATTACATCATTTCATTACAATGACGGAATTGTAATTAAATATTAATATATCAAATGATAATGTAATCGTCTATGTCAAAATAATAATCATAATTGATTTATTATAATTATTATCATTAATCATAATAGAATTCAAATTTATTTCTTAATTTATTAATTTATTAATATTTATTTATTAATTCAAAATATAGGACATTATCAATTATAAGCGTATATGCAAATATTTTTTTGAAATCCCAATTAATAAATTTTATTTTAACATAATTTTTTATAAGCTAAAAACTAATATTAATAAAAATATATATTTGATTCTAGATTCTTATAAATTTTCAATTTTTTTATATTAAAAAAGTTATAATAGCAGAAAATATATTTCTATTGAATTTGATGATTTGATCTTTTATATATTTTGTTTATTATATTATTATATTGTTGTGTTATTGTGTTATATTATATTATTATATTATTATGTTATTATATTGTATTAATTTATTTATTATTTTATTTATTTATTGATATATTTATTCATTTATCTATTTATTAATTAAAAGTTTTATTTTTTAGGGAAAGAATCTTAATATCGTTTAAAAATTATAATTAATCATTCCTCTACATAACTTGATTTTATTTACATAAATATATTTACACACATACTATATAAACAATATTTACTGCAAAAATATTTCTTAGAATTTTAAATTCCACGAAACAGTTTGTTCGTATCCATACATGCATGACCTACGAAAAAATCAAAATATTGAATATTTCTTATAGCCATGTAAATATTTCGTATTTCGTCAATTCCAGAAAAAATTAGATTCATGTTTCGATTTATCATAAGTGGAAAAAGAAGACTATTTGAAATCCCAATTAGAAAATCGCTTAGAAACCATGTGACACGAAGCGTCATTGTTTTTCCAAAGATCCTTGTGACGAGACGTATCATCAGTTCGTCGAGTGTGATTTCAACTACACAATAAGTAATTTTACCAATATTCTTTTTTTAAATTTACAAATTATCATTCTCTTCGTTTATTTAATAATTTATTAAATACTGTGATAATGTATGATGTAATAATATCGCGAAATTAAGTATTTTAAGTTTTTTTTTTGCTTTTTCCTTCGTTTAACTTTCGTGAAATTGCCAATTATATGATTGTCCCATCATCTTTTAAGATAGAATTTGAATTCAATTATTGTTAATACTTCTTTGCATTTTGTACATTACAAATTCTATTTATTTCAAATTATTTGTTTTCTTTTATAGATTATGGGACTTAACTGGAAATGAGATATGAGATAGAAATAACGAAAATGCGAGGCATAGACGTCATGATGATCACGTAGTAATTTGATATTTTTTCATAGAGATTTAGTAATGTAGAATTCATTTTAACATTATAAAAAACGATAAAAATAGGAACGATTAAATAAATTATAATTCTATATTGAATATTTGATTATTTTTTGAAATAAATTAAACGAATAATTTCATTTAATCGTTTACATAATCATATTATATGTGATACAAAAAAAGGGATTTTCTTAAATAAACATGTTTATTTAAAAAATTTTGATTTATTGCAAGTATTTCTTAATATTCATAAAACGTGAAACAGTATACGTAATATGTTTTAATTGTGAATACGAATTTCTCTTATAATTTTTAAAGAATAGCAATATTTTCTAAACAATTGGTTATATAGGTTAGAAAATAGAAAAAAAATATGAAATATATTTTATTTTTTTTTCTCTTCTTTATCGTTCTATAAATGTAATTTTATTTTCAGTTTATTGTAATCGCGTGCAATGCGATCAATAGAGTCAAATAGTGTTTCTCAAATAGTGTTTCTCATTTTTAGAATATAATAATTTTAAATAAATTTAATTAAAATAATTATTGCAAAATTAGAATCAGTGTTTGTTCGCCAATTACAGAATATAAATAGACACGTTAATAGTTTATTATTTTTATTTTTATATTATAAATATTCATTTTCATGCAAAATAGAATTAGTGTTTTTATGTTTTAGTTCTTTTAGAACTACTTTATTTTTTTAATTTTAAGATTAATTAATTTATTCTTCTATATTATAATTTTTTTTGTTTTATAATAATTCTATATAACATTCTATATAATTTCTATATAATATTTCCTTCTTGTGTTTGTATATTTATTCATTATTTATATATCATAAAATTAAATTTTTTCATATGTTGCAACATATAAGAGAAGAATTTAACATTGTAATATATAAATAATGAATAAAATATAAATATAAATAAATATAAATAATGAATAAAAAGAAAGTGTAATATAAATATTAATTATTATAAAGTAAAAGTAAAAACATAGAAGAAGAATTTAATCTTAAAATGAAGAAAATCTAAAAGAACTAAAACATAAAAAAAATATATAACAAAAATATTATCTAAATCTAGGTAATATAACAAAAACATTTAAACAAAACAAAGCAAAATTTAGAATATTAAATTCTATTTTTATATGTTGCAACTTTGTTAGTTTTACTTAATTATTATGTTTTAGTTCTTTTAGATTTTGTTAATTTTAATTAATTAATTTCTTCTTCTATGTTACAATTCTTTTTGGTTTCATAACAATTAATTTATATTATATATTATATTCTCTTCTTGTTTTTGTATATTTATTCATTATTTATATATCAGAAAATTAAATTCCTTCATATATTGCAACAGAGAAAGTTTAATATTGTAATATATAAATAACAAATAAAATATAAAAAGAAAATATAAATATTAATTATAAATAATAAAAATATTTGATTAAATAATAATAATAAAAATATTTGATCTTTTATTAATAAATATTAAGTAAAAATTATAAAGTAAAAAGAATTGAAACAGGAGATGAATTTAACCTCAAAAAAAAAGAAAATGTAAAA